CTGGGAGCAGCTCAGAAATCGTGTGAACGCACCTCTCAACTTCGTCATTGTCAATGATGAATTCTTTCTTCAGGACTTTGATAGCATACAGGCTACTCGACTTCTTCTCCTCTGCCAGCATAACCTTACCGAAGTTGCCCTTTCCGAGTACCGCCAGGAAGTTGAAGTCGTCCAGCCCGACTTTCCGCTTGCCTTGCCGCGCAAGCTGTTGTTGTTGTTGCTGCTGCTGCTGCTGTACAGGCGGAAGTGACGTCTGACGCTCTGATGGTGACGGTGCCTGGGTTGGGGACATGGCATTTGGAGGGTATCCCTTGGCTGGAGCAGCCGGTGGCTGATGAGTGGACGCTAGCTGTCAGCAAGAAAGTACTGGATCCCGCGAAACTGACGCACCTGGTAAGCGTAAGGGTCTTGATCGTAAGGTCCGGGAGCGCGGCCACCGGACAAAGGTGGCTGCACTGGCTCCGTGGGGAACGCGGGTCTGCCGCCAGGACCAGAAGGAAGTGGCCGGGGTGCCGACTGTGGTGTACCTGGTGGGTACGGACTTGCTGATTGTTGCATCATCCGTGGGTCGGTGGATGGCTGGCGATGGCCATACTCGGGCGTCTTGGAGGGTGGCGTAGGTTCTTGTCCAGTGATGATCTGCAGATGACCCATGTCACTAGCCAAGTGGTCCAGTGGAGGTTCAGATGATACAGGGGTCCCTGGGTACTGCGAGGGAGTAGGGTAGCCCTGCGACGCTGTTCTTTGCTGCTGCTGCTGGTGCAAGCGACCGCCACGGGCTCGGTTGATATCCTTCCAGTCACGTAGGAGAATGTTGGCAGTCTCCATAGACATACCGCAGAAGTCGGGAACAAGATGCGCACAGTTTGCGTGGCAGGTAATATCACATTCCGTACATCGGCGAGCATTCTTGCGACCAAGGGGGAGCATATAGCCACAATGACAACACCAGTTCGCGCCAATATTGGTGATTGGTTCGAAACGGTGAGGAATACGGTGGTTGATTTTCTCGGCATCGTCATCCTGATAGATCGAGATGAGGCCAGCAGGGAAGGACATGTATCATCTGAACTTACTCCATTGTTCGACTTGGATATACATTTCGTAACAACTTTCTCGTAGCACTTCTTGTGACAGGTGTACCGACAATCTTCACACTGGTAGCCGACCGCGTTGAGTAAGAACTCGTTGCAGAAGGCACAGAGGATAATCTGATAGAACTGGCGTTGAACGAATTTGTGACCGTTCATCTCGTGAACTTCATCCTTGCGCTTGCGAACGGCACCTTGACGGCCCAAGCCACCAGGGGCATCCAGCGGACGCTTGCGAACATTCTCCTTGACTGTATGTGGATTCAATAAGCGAGAATCCAGATAACATGAGTTGGAGTACTTACTGAAGTTGAGACGAAGGGCGATAGCACCGGCAGGTTCGACAGCAAACCATGCATCCACGCCTTCAGTAGCCCCCGAAGCCACGGCGGTTTGTGCCATCATACGGTTGTCGCCGTACCCTATTGGGGCGTCCAAGCCCCCCGTCTGTCCACTCATACCGCCACCTGGAGAGCTGACGCCGCCATCGCCGTCCATTGCCCCGGCGGTAACCCACCCACCGACTTCAGTTTCTGCCATAACCTTCTGTCGCCGCTGTGCCTCAACCAGGTCGTTGATCTTGATCCAGAGAAGACCGATGGGGACGGGATTGATTTCGCTGGCTTGCTTGTCGAAGATTGCCACCTCGACTTCATTCGCCTTGTCCACCACAATCTCGAAATCTTCCATCCAGCGGTCCGTCCGGGTAGGATGCGACCTAGCGCGCTGCGTGCCCTCGACTTTGAAGGATATATAGGTTTCCACGATTTTGGACGATGAACGTGAGCGACCAGTCGAGACAACGGGAGCATGATCTAGTTCTCGAGCGCCTTTGAGAGTTATCTGGAGTTTGCCGGATAACGGCTTATTACGAAGGTTGTCCTTTCTCTCGCCATCCACACCGGGCCCGACGGGGCCTGGAGTAGCTTCTGGGAAGGTTAGCTGCAGGTGGGAATAACCTATAGATACGCCACATACCGTCCTCTTCCTCTTCCTCATTATCCATGATATGAAGTGTCTTGTAGCGTTTCAGAGCCGTTTGTAGCAGCTGTATCTTCCTCTCGCTCTCTACCCGTTTGCCCTCAGCATCTGCCTTAGATCTTTTGTCACCTTCCTGTTGGTATAGTTTGGCCATCTTGTCTATACCCTTCTTGTACTGCATCTCGACCTGAAGCTTGAACTCGAGTTGATGAAGCATTCGAGAGATCTTTGCTGTGGTATGAGGAGTGTCTGCCTTGATGAGATCAAAGTTGGTATACGTCTTTGGCTTTGGGGCATCGATAGGGGAATCGTAAGGGCCGCCGCCACTGACAGGGCGCATCTCTGGCGACGCGGGACCACGCGAGTCGGGGCGACCACCATAGCCGGATGACCCCGACGACTTGTAGGACGATGTACAACATTATCAGAGCGTCATATGGCCGATATTTGAGAGAATACACACCTGACCGGTCATACTCCCTGATCTAGAGTGATCAGCGCGCTGCGCCTGCATCATTTTACGAGACTGCAACTCGCGCAGGGTGTCCTCGAAATAGGAGAGCGAACGCTCTGCTTCCCTAATAGCAGCATCATTGCGTCTGAGTACTTCGGGGTTGTTGGTAGCCTGACGAAGGAGCTGGGAAGCCTCGAGGACCTTGCGCTCTGTCTGGATACGTTTGTAGACATCCTGGATCTTCTGGTCCAGCTCGTGCGCCTGCGCAACGACGTTAGGGGCGAATGAGAGGGCGAACGGAAGGACGTTACCATGGCCACTCAATCAGAGGTGCCACCCAGAGTGTGGCGGGAGGAGATGGACGTTCGAGACAGAGGACAGAGAGGCCTTTCAATGGTTTGGCAGTCGTTGCCGGAGGGGCGGTGATCTGTGTGCGCTTGCTTGCCCGCCCGCGCTGCCGCATTGGGCTTATCGGACAAATTAACCCGTGAAGCAAAATCTAATCTGATAACTCCGTTTCGTCCTCGACCATGCCCACCATCCTCTACGCCTCTGCTGCCCGAGAGGCACATGACGGCTTCACATTGTCCATAACTGCCCGACATGCGCTACTATTTGGCGGAAAGAGCTCGAAAATGTATCATGCGAAAGGACGGATTCCAAATATCGACATCATTACCCGTGGAGACCTTGTCCTTTGTCTCTCCGGGATGTCAAACAGTCGGCCAGTCGCCGCTTGTACTATGAAATGCTCAGCCCTTTCTGAGCGATTCCGAACCTACCTGAAAACGGTGCGTTACGCTTGAAGGTGCTGCAGGCGTCGTTGCTGACTTTCTGCGTACAATAGCATGCAAATAGCCTCGGGATGAGCACTGTCTCAGAGTTGTACGTCGATGACGATGGTGCCGCAAAATGTGCGGTAATTCTGCTATTATTGCTGTAGAATGCTATATCTGAGGCTGCGAGCAAGTCAACCTATCACCGTCAGCCCCCTATGAACCTGAGGCACATTATCCAGTAGCCTACTTATCCGAGATCAACATCACCTTCGCCTTTTATTCCAAAGACAAATCTTCAGGTGAAACCCTTGCAATTATCATTTTATCCCCAATTTCTGACCCGGCACAGATGACATCTTCTCCAGACGGATGTTTTTGCCTTTCAAAACAGCTCTAGACGCATTGGTGGATAAATTTGTCACCATTCATTTAGCAAGGCAGGTGATCGTCGCCGATTCCAAGTCTACTAAATCCGTTAAATGCGCTCTGTAGACGGTATCCGCTGATCTTCGGATCCTTGCGTCGGGTGGGTTTCGATTCTCTCACTCCCGGCAGTATAAGTTCATTATGTGCTGCAGAAATTACAAATGGAGCGATCATACTGCTCACCCATGTCTAACAGTGTTCTACGTGTCGCGGAGCGGTCCCCTAACAATCACTTTCGACGCGAGGTAACGAGACTGTTCAGTGTGCGTTCCAAACTTTCGAGCTATGGTTAGGGCCCGACTAATGGTATGCATACATGCAGGGTTTGAACCGAAAGCTATCTAGGGAGTCACAAAACTTAACCATCTCGTACTGTCGGCATGCGGGAATCAACACGGAGGACAAAGCTCATCTTCTACCTCCAGCGGCTCCGAACGACGACTTGATAGGAGATGCAGTTCTCCACTCGTTGTTCTGCATCCTCCGTTCTCATGTTCGTCCTTCGCGTTTCAAGGTCCGTTGTCGTTGCAAAGCGTATGATCCTTAGTCTTATCACCGCACTGTAGGGTTCCGGGTCTATCGCGCAGTGCTCCGACGAGCATGAACCTCCAGACGACTTTCCTTTCACAGAAATGGATGACAATCCCACTACAGTATTACCGAATTTACCGAGGGCTTTCCCAGCGATATCTTGGGATGATCTGCCGGATGATCAGCCTGGCTCTATCTCTGACGACAGTGGCTGTATGGAAAACTTATTTTCGCTGCCCGACGACGGCCGGTCTGCTCCTGGCGACGATAGTGGCGCGGA